ATACAAGCAACCAATTTTCAAGAAGAAAAATTCGACCAGCAACAAAAACATTTATTTTTACCACGAGAAGGAGAATATTCTGGCCTATTACTGGGAGACTCAATTGTTAACAGAATCAATGGGGAACAAATATCGGAAAATGTGTTGGCGAGAGGATTTGGTGGGCACAAAATTTCTGCATTGCTGGAACGCGTGAGAAACAGTAAATCGCGACATTTTGAACATGTAACTACGCTAATTGGAATAAATGACTGCCTCTCAAGTGATTTCGACGCGAATGAAGCCGTGAGTAGCTTAGAAAAACTAATTTATCTCATAAATCATAAATTCTCCCCAGAAACAATTTCACTATGTACTGTAACTCCCTTAGGCGCTTTTAGAAAAGATTTTAATCCAAATGTACAGAAGCTAAACAAGCAAATTCCTAATTTAGTACGGAATGTAAAAGACTTGGGCGAAGTAAAATTGGATATTTTAGACATAAACAAAAATTTTAGTCAAAATACCGATGCTCTTAGCTCGGATGGTTCGCATCCTTCTGATGGGGGTGTTGAAATTTTGGTGCAAAGTTTTAGAGATTCATTTAGAGGTTCTGATATTAATGCAAACACATGTGAGATTACAACCCGCCCCAGAATGAAGCAAACCCAACAATCATCAAATTTAGATCCAAAAACGGCAGAAATGTTACAATTTTTCCAAAGCGGTGCAAAATTTTTTAGGAAATACTAGTTTCGCATTTTTTCTTGGTGCAAACTTTGGCGATTATTTAATTTATTTAACTTATTATGCTGAATATTAAATTCTGGTTGTTTTGTGCAATTTTTCTAATTTCCAAGGCTCAGATGGAAACTAAAGAAAAAACTATTGTTTACTGGGGCTATCTAAGCTGCCAGCAAAAGATATTATCAACCAAATATGGGATAAATGAGCGGAGAGCTACCACACTGACTCATCTTTTCCTTTTCGCGTTGTTACTGAAGCAAAGTGGGGATGTTGAAAAAAACCCTGGTCCTATCGAAACCATTGAAACAGTCTACGGTATCTGCTCAAAAAATTGTGCAAATCTTAAATTTGTTCATTTGAATTTTCAAAGTATTATTAGAAAACGGATGCAATTGAAAAAATTTCTTGATGATATGGGCGAAAGTACAATTATAGGAATTTCCGAAACGTGGCTTAAAAAAGAAGATAGTGACAATTTATGGAATTTCCAACCTAGAACGCATGCGATGTTCAGATATGATAGGCAATCAGCGGTAAAAAAGAAAGGCGGTGACGTTTTGTTATATATACCAGTCAAATTGGCTCCGAAATTGAGGCCTGATTTAAATTTATTTGATAAAGAAAAATATGAGTCAGTGTGGGTTGAGTGCAAATCTACATTTAACATTTCGAGTTAATTTGTGTTGTAACCCAAGCAGATCAAACTTTATTGATTTTTTGGAACAATTAACGCTTAACATAGATAATGCATTTTCAGTTTCTAATAAAATTACGCTTCTGGGTGATTATAACATAAATTATCTGGATAGCAAAGAAAAAGAAAATTTAGATTCTATAATTATTCCATATGGATTGAAGGTTTTTTGTCCAAACGATGAGACCAGAATTAGTTCCTCAACAAAAACTCATATCAACTACATAATCAGTGACTATGAAACAAACGGCATTGAATTTTGTTTTGATACACCTTATAAAACCGACCATTTTGCTTCATTTATTTTGACGGATACAAAATGCGGCAAAATTTTACCGAGGATAATTTCGACTTTCAATAAGAAAAATTATCAGAAAAATGAATTTTGCAATTCACTCTCCGCTCTTCCTTGGTATCTCTTATATCAATGTACAGACGCACAAAACATGTTCTTGACGATGATTTATTTAATTTCTTGTGCTCTACAGCAACATGCTCCTATCGAAAAAAAGTTTGTTCGTAATTTTAAACCAAAAAACGTGTTGAAAACGGAATGGTTCGATTCAGAATGTCAGCAATTGTTGACTAAGAAACAGAATTCACTCAGATCATATCGCAGTCAAAGCACAAGCAATAATTGGTCAAAGTACCAGTTTTTACGTAATCAAATGAGCCAATTGATTAGAAGTAAACAACTCGATCATTCAAAAAATTGTTTTTCACTTCTCAGGACTATCCAACAAAAATGGAAATATATTAACCAAGTTAGAGGTACATGTTCTGGCAACAATCGAATTACAGTTCTACGAAATTCCTTCACTGAAATGATAACCCAAGACAAAAAAATCATTTAAATTATATTTTTTCAAACTTAGGCGAATTTTTCGGCGCTAAAAAGCCTCCGAAATACATTAAATCTGCCTCTGAATCTGCACCTTTTCATTTTCAACACATTACAGTGAAGCAATGCTTTGATATAGTTCGAAAAATCAATGTTAGAAAACCTCTCGGATCTTGTACCGTACCTGCTTGGGCAATCATTGACGGTCAATCAGTTATAGTTCCACATTTAACTTTTGTCATAAATACTTGCTTAGATGAGAACATTTTCCCGATCGAACTGAAAAAAGCAAACGTAACCCTTTGTTCAAAAAAGATGACCCAATGGATGCAAAAAATTATCGGCCAATATCAATAACTTGTGTTTTTTCTAAAAATTTTTGAAAAAATTTTACATGCCCAAATAACAGAACATCTTGACAAATTTCAAATAATGACACCATTTCACTTCGGATTTCGCAAAAAACATTTCAACACAAGATGCTCTTGTTTATGTGACAGAAAGTATTCGAAATCAAATAGATTCAAAAAAAATCGTACATGCAGCTTTATTAGATCTGTCCAAGGCTTTTGATTCTATTTCGCATGAAGTTTTAATTGAAAAAATGCTTTCTCTCGGTTTTTCAAATGAAGCAAATGCTTTAATTGCTAGCTTCCTAAACAAACGTATTCAAAGAGTAAACGTCAATGGAATTTTTTCAGACTGGATTGAAATAAACGAGGTTTCCCACAAGGAACGGTACTTGGTCCGTTGTTGTTCAATTTATATGTTAATGACATACAAGAGCGATTATATGAAGGTTGTACTTTAGTTCAAAATGCTGACGACTGTATGGTTTTTTCCTCTTCTATAATTTCTGAGGATGCTTTGAATCGATTGCAAAAATCACTCAATAATCTAACGGAATTTTTTGCAGAGAACCAATTGAATCTGAATGCATCTAAATCGGAATTTATAACATTTTGTCAAAAAAATGATAGCAAAAATGTGGATACTGATAAACTAGTAATTAGTGGGCATTATGTAGCCTGAAAATCAGAATGCAAATATTTAGGCATAATTCTTGATTCAAGTTTATCTTTTCATGCTCAAATCAAAACAATTCTCCAAAAAATGGCCCAAGGGATTAAAATTATTGATACAATTGGACAACAACTGCCGACATTATCATTAGTTGCCTTGCTTCCTTGTCTTGTTTTATCACATTTAGATTATTCAGCAATTTTTTTACAACAAATTAATGCTACTTTGATGCTATCTCTGGAGAAACAGTTGAGCTGGGCGCTAAAAAGAACATATTTCAGATCGAAATTTAAATCTTCTTCCCTTCTTCGCTTTAGCAAATCGTTCATTGGAATCGAGAAAAGAATTGAGTTAAAGTGTATAACATACTTATACCAAAATCTTACAAACAAAAAGAAGGCTTTTGAAAATACACTGAGACTACCGACTGCCAATTATAGGCTCAACGAAAGAACGAAACAAATTATTTTTGACAAACATTGTTCGACTGCTTCTCTACAAAAATCATTTTTTCATTTGACTTCTAAAAAATGGAATTCACTGCCCATAATTTTGCGGATTTTAGAAAAATCGAAAACAGAATTCAAGAAAAAATTGAAAGAATTTTACGTGAGTGAATTGAGAAACAATCCTATATGTACTAATACAAATACGTGGCGTGATTTCCGTTTTTGCTAGTTCTATATTTTTTAATTCAGTTTAATTTTTCACACATTGCTTGAAAGAGAAACTGTATATACTCTGTATATACGCTGTATAATTGGACTATCTGTAAAATTGTTTGTAAAGTTTTATTACCAGCTTGTTCCTAATTCTTAAATCTTTATTTTTCTATAGTATCCGAAACTTCATATACTTTAATCAACCAATTTCCGAACTGTAACCGATTTTGTTTTTTTTTGTTTTGTTTATTGCTTGTTTTCTGATGTTTTGTTTTTGTTTGATGTAACCAATGAATTTATAACCAATTTTATTATTTACACTTTGCTACACTGATGCCTCGGCTCTTTATTGTATAGTAATTCAAGTGTTCTTTCTTCTTCTTTACGACGAACGATTTGTCAGCAAAACTATCAACTTCATAATCAAAACAGTCTAAATTAGCGACAAAACAATGGTTTACGCGCACAATAACACTCGTGTTGAATTGAAGCGCAGCGGTCGCTAATCGCCAATGCCGCCTTTGAAGTTAGCTTTCACACTTTGTAGTTGTTGTGTCTGCTAAAAATCTGTCTGCTAAAAAACCGGTCTACTTAAATCTCTAGCACACGGCGACCGATCGTTTAGCAGGCAAATCTTTCAACATAGAAAGTGAAAAATGAGTCTTTTAGCAGACAAACCTAATAAAGTGACAGACTCAAAAAGACGCTCAGTCTGGGGCCAAGCTTCCCCAATTATCACGCGATAAAACTTCAATAAAACTATCAACTTCAAAAACACAACAGTCTAAATTAGCGGCAAAACAAAGGTTTACGCACACAATAGCACTCGTGTTGAATTGAAGCGCAGCGGTCGCTAATCGCCAATGCCGCCTTTGAAGTTAGCTATCACACTTTATAATTGTTCTGTGTCTGCTAAAAAAAACCGGTCTGCTAAAACCTTAGTACCCTAGCACACTGTTGGTTTTTGATACCATCTGCAGGTTACTCCCTTATCGTGCGACGCATATATGTTCAAATCCAGGAAGGGCAAATTTTCCTTTGAAATTCTTCTTTGATTTTTGTTTGATTTTTTCAGGTTCAGTTAATGTCAACGGTTTGTACATACACTTATTTCAAGTTAATTAGGTGGATCATTAATAGTGTCACTACCTAAATGTTTATCAAATGAAAATGAGAACAATTTGTTCACACTAAAATAAGTAATATTTTCGTTCAATATATTAGAATACAATGAAAATTTCGTTTCAGCCAGTATCCAAGAAACCGGAGCAGAAAAGATACGTTCCTCCAGCTGGCAGAAGACACACAGATTCCCGAAAAGGTAATAATTTTAGTACGCATTTAGCGATATCTTTCGGAAATTCTAAGTGAATCAATTTTTTTCAAAGCTTTATCAAATCACCGTTTTTGGTGCCAGATATCTAAGAATCAAGTACGCGTGAAAGTAGTTCACAGCATGGGGACATGGCGAAATCGTTATGGCTTGGCTAAGTCAGTTTGAGTCACGCAGTATTATTAAGTTTTTTTGAATTTGAGTGTGCTATTTTCCTTTGATGTGTTTTTGGAGCTCTGCCGTTCATAAGTCAGCTTTGCCTGTACTGATAAATTTTTGTCGTTTTTTGGGCTCATTTTTCATGCTGAAAATCTATCAGCTTATTCGCCAAGTCAACAAAGTTCAGTCTAATACAGCTGTTTTTCGTCATAAGATTTTTGCGCAATCTTCGTTTTTGATAATGGCTCAAGAGCTTCTTTCGGCCTAATTGTTTCCGGCTATTGTTTTTTCGGCTTACTTTTTCTCAAGAGCCCTATAGGGCTTTAAGGGCAAAAAATGCTTAATAAAAAAATCAGGTAGTTGTCTGAAAAACAAATGTTACTTAATTGCTCAAAAAATTTTTGTGTCAACAGTTTTTAATGGTATTTTTTGTTTTCGACTCAATGAGCGGCTCAGAGCTACTTTTTTGGCTCAATGAATGCATTGTCGGCTTAATGGCCGCTACTTTAAAAAATTGAATGGTTTTTTATGCTGTTTTTGTTGCTAGGGTATTTTTTGATTTCGTTTCTCTTTTTTTTCTATTCTCGAGCGATTCGTGCGATGCTGTTTTTTCGTTGTATCACAAGTGACTCGAATTTCGGCTTCGCCTCTGTGTTTTACAAACATCAAGAAGTATCATTCGGCATCTTGAAAACTTATGTTTGTTCATTTCGCTTATTTAAAAACACTAATCGAATGACAATCTTTTCCTGCTCAAACAAGTTGTCTGTTATAGTTTTTAATCAAAAGAAATCTTGCGTCAAATCCATTTTCACACTGGCGAGCTTGAGAGTACGAACCTTCTTTTTTTCCAACCTAACACGCCAAGGAAATTATTTCTTTATTTGGTGGCTTGTTTTGCTATGATGACGATCTGTAGCTTTGGAAGTTTATCATCTGTTCTCTGCTTTATTTGTGGCTAATGTTTGTGATTTATTAGGCGTCCGTGGCTGAGTGGTTTGTGCGTGAGCTTCATAAACTCTAGGTTGCAGATCGAATCCGAGACGTAGTCAAATTTTTACTAATTCGAGGCTTTTTTCTACTTTATCTTATTGCACTTTATAGAGCTGCTTTTTATGGTGTTCTTGCCAGTGTCTAGGAAGCACAGCTTCGCCATTATGTTTTTTTTCGGCTTACGGTCCAACGCCTGGAATGTTTTCAAAGCATCATTTTTTCTTATTGACGCAATTCTAACTATAATTGAAAGTCGGTCTAGAGTTGTTAAGTTTACCAACTTTGATTTTGTATAATTCTTTTTCTTTTTTTTTTAGAAATTTGATGTTGAATTTGTTCTATTTATGCATCGGCGTATTTATCCCATTTTGCGTCGTGTGAAATACAAAATTAGATAGTTACACTTTTGTGTGTTTCAAAGAATAGGGCGTAAAAAGTAAAGCTCAAAAATATATTTTCTATGACATTTTAGTTTTGGCTCAACTGATGTCTACCCAAGTATTATGTAATGATTTTGAAAGCTTGTTTAACAGCTGTGATGTTTTTTGGCTATTTTCCTCAAAATTAAGATCATTCCCAACAAATTTTTGTTTTCTGTCTGCTAATTTAATATGCTATCTTTGTCTTTTATCGCAAGTGTTACAAAGCTCCGCTTCGCCTCAGTGTAAAAAGTTTACCTATTGAGTCAGTTGTCTAAATTGGCTTAATTTTATTTATAAAAAATGACAATCATAAACTTTTCGTGACATTCAAAGAGCTTTAAGGCCGTTTATTGAAATTTTTTTTATATTACACATGATATTTTTATTTGTTTAGACGAGCGTAGTGTGATAGTGCATTGCAATTTTTTTCTATCGGAAGTCGAAAATAAAAGTTCTACTTCGGATGGTACTTTTCTAACGGTTGGCTGAATTGCAGTATATTGCCAAGTGCTTTGACTTTTGATTTGTATTAGGCTAACACAGTTGATGCTTTATCAATTCATGAATTGAACTGAAAAAACTGTTTGTTTCATACAACAGTATAATAATTGAAATCCCTTTTCAGAAAATTTCCAACTTGATTTACTTCGCGAGATTTTTGAAATGCATAATTTATTCGCATCTATTATTTATTTAAATGCGGGCTTCACTATCTCGCCATGTTTAAGCTTTTTCAACGTAATATTTTTGCATGTTTAAGCTATATCGTATATTGCAATGGTTAAGAATTTTTTTTCGATTTTCCAATTTGATTTTAATGGTTAATTTACCGAGTTTAAATTAAGCAGCCCAATATCGAATTAGGGGTTGCCAATTTAGCCTCCAATTTTGAATGCCCGAATCATTTTCATTTTAGCTAACGAGATAAGACGATTTTTGAGATTTTTTCAAAAATTATCCGAAATTTCAAATAACAAAATTTTTAAAAAAACTTGAAGTTCCCAACCCTGTAGTTGGGCGCTGTCAGAGTACTCTAAGAAGTGTCAAATCTTGCTTCCAAATATGACTGTTCAAGTCCTTGTAGTTTTCGAGATATGACGTTTTTTGTGATTTTTTCAGAAAATTTTCAGAAAACATTTAAATTTTTTTTCACAAAATCTGAAATTCCCAACCCTGTTGTTGGGTCCTGTCAGAGTAATCTCAAAGATTGCGAATCTTGCCTCCAATTATGACTGCTCATTTCTTTGTAGTTTTCGAGATATGACGTTTTTTGTGATTTCAAAAATTTTCAGAAAACTTAAATTATTATTATTTTTTAAAAACTGAAATTCCCAACCCTGAAGTTGGGTACTGTCAGAGTACTATAAAGGATCGCGAATCTTGCCTCCAAATATAATTGCTCAAAACCTTGTAGTTTTCGAGATATGATGTTTTTTGTGATTTTTTCAAAAATTTTCAGAAAATTTTAATTAATTTTCTAAAACTTTGAAATTCCCAACCCTGTAGTTGGGTCCTGTCAGAGTAATCTCAAAGATTGCTACTCTTGCCTCCAAGTATGACTGCTCAATTTTTTGTAGTTTTCGAGATATGACGTTTTTTGTGATTTTTTCAAAATTTTCAGAAAACTTAAATTATTATGATTTTTTTTAAATCTGAAATTCCCAACCCTGAACTTGGGTACAGTCAGACTACTATCAAGGATCGCGAATCTTGCCTCCAAATATGATTGCTCAAATCCTTGTTGTATTCGAGATATGACGTTTTTTGTGATTTTTTAAAAAATTTTCAGAAAACTTAAATTACTATTATTCTTTGAACATCTGAAATTTCAAACCCTGTAGTTAGGTCCTCTCAGATTAATCTCAAAGATTGCTACTCTTGCCTCCAATTATGATTGCTCACTTTTTTTTGTAGTTTTCGAGATATGACGTTTTTTGTGATTTTTTCAAAAATTTTCAGAAAACTTAAATTACTATTATTCTTTAAACATCTGAAATTCCCAACCCTGTAGTCAGGTCCTGTCAGAGTACTCTCAAGGATTGCGAATCTTGCCTCCAAATATGACTGCCCAATACTTTGTAGTTTTCGAGATGTGACGTTTTTTGTGATTTTTTCAAAATTTTCAGAAAGTTAAAATTAATTTTTTTTCGAAATTTGAAATTCCCAACGCTATAGTTCGGTGTTGTCAGGGTACTCTAAAGAGTTGCAAATCTTGCCACATGCGAATGATAAACGCTGATAAACACTGCTCAAATGCTTTTAGTTTCCGAGATGTGACGTTTTTTGATTTTTTCAAAGTTTCTCAAAGAACTTATCTACAAAGAAATTCAAAAAATTTGAAACTACCAGCTTGATGAAGATAACCTTATTGTCAGCGTGCAGCCAGGCGTCTCAAATCTTGCTTCTTAATATGAATGCTCAAATCCTTTTAGTTTCCGAGATAAGACTTTTTTTTTTTTCGGGAAACTTAAGTTTAAAAAAGTTCACAACATTTTGGATTCCTTACCCTATAGTAGGGTGCTCTCAGGGACTCTCAGTGGTTGCAAATCTGGCCTCCAAATTTCTCCAGAGGCCCATTAAGTTTTTGAGATGAGGCTTTTAAAATGAGAATTAAAAAAAAATTGGGTGCAGTCAGAGTACACTAAAATTTTGCAGATGTTGTTTCCAATATATGCGGTTTTTACTGAGTTGTCGAAAAATTTAGAAGCACCGAAGGTGCGTTAAACGCTAGTTTTGGTTTAATACATTCTAATTTACATTCAACGTTAGTGTTGTTGCCTTTAAGTTATTACATTCCGACTTATTTCATGCAGAGTTTTTGTGCATTAAATCTGAGTGTTTGCCTCTTTCTCGCTCGTGTTTGCGAAGCTGCAGCTTTGCCTCTGTGTTTTATCTAGCCTTTTTCATTTTTGTTCCTACCGTTGAAAAATGCGGAAGAACTTTGTATTTGGGTGTGTTTTCTTTTTTTTTTGTTCTCCAGGCACAATCGGTTACCACAAGTAATCATCGGACTGGTTTGAGTGATATATCATTTTAAAGCCCTTTCAGTCATGATTCGAACGACATTGTTATTATTTTTTTGAAAAAGAAAGTTGTCGATCTTGCCTAATGCACAAACTTTCTACGCGTATGAATAATTCTGGAATCACACCACACTAAAAACGACAACTTCGAAGAAAAAAAACTTTTGTTGTCTAGGTTTTTCTAATGAATATGCTCGGAACATTCTGTGCTACTTGCTCAGCAACCCGGCTATCCTTGTTTGTTTTCGGAATAATAGTCATTGAGCCCCAGCTTGACATTTCTCTAAATTTTGTGCTTTTGAGTAGATACGCTTGCTGGCAGTGGCGAGAATGAATCTCGAAAATCAGATCCTGCTAGATTCGGTCAACATGACGAACGGTCTAATACGACTAGCCGCTCAAATGAAAGTTTCGCCTGCAGAAGCAGTGACCAGAAACGAGAACCTCAAAATCAGTCAAACTATCAAAAAGAACAGGAAAGTAGACGTGATCAACCAATAAGAAACAATACAAGGAGAGTGAATGACTCAAAACCAGCTGTGCAGAATTCAAGGTCGAATAATTTTGGTGGATATTCAGCACAGCAGTCATCGCAGCGAGACAGAGGAAGCAAACCTGAAGTTAATAGAGCCGGTGGAAGAGAGTCTACCAGTCGATATGGGAAAAAGCACGATGACTCGGAAACTGTACGTCCCCTAACAGAAAGCAGAAGGTATTATACGTCGGACTATGTTGAAAACAAAAAGTCGCCCGATGCCGAAACAGCAGAACTTGCTACTTTAAATTCAAATACTGGACTGCTTAAAGACATTTCTTCTCTTGACACAACAAATAACAACGAAGAAGATGACAAATATATTTTCGTCAATGATAATAGATTAGAAAAAGCTACACATGATCAGCGATTGGACAAACAGCGACTTGGCGAAAAGGTTGGATTTTCCATTGAAAATGATTATCGAACTGAAAAATCTCGCCGAATGGACCATGCTCCAGGGTACTTTTTTGGGGCCAATCGATCAGAATCTTTCCGTGAATCAGAAAGAATTGGATTCCAGAATACCTCAAAAAATGAGACACATTCAAGTGGTCTTAAGTCACTGGAGAAACTGGAGTTCACGCCTACAAACTCAAATAGAGATCTTAACATCTCTGAGCTAGATATTGCGAAGTATATCGGACCCCAGAAAAACTCAGCTAACAAGACGGAATTCAAGGATGATGAAGGTTCAAAGCAGTCATCACAGATTGACGCACCGAAAACTCGCAGAGTTAAACCGTCAAAGACCCACGATGAGGAAGATCAGGAGGAAAAGAACGCAATGATGAGCTCACCGCCTATCCACACTCTTGATTCTGGAGATGGCTCGGTCAGAGCAAGACGAGTGTCCCGTAAACCGCATCAAACAACCGCTGAAAAAGACGAAACTGCGTATGAGGCGGTGAAGTTAGAGATGCAACGAGAGAATCCAAAAAATCGAACCCTTTTTGATCCCAATAACCCCGCTCCCTCTGTTCACCATCAACCAGTGTTACTTAATACGCCTCCAAGCGTTGAAGAAGCATCTAGAATTAGTCCACACGAATCTGCAGATATTCCGAGCTTTCAAGATCTGCAGCAAGCGCAGAGACCACATTTCAGGCAACCTCTTCAAGGAAGATCGTTGTATGACCCGAACAGTATGCAAGCATCCGCTCCAATGACAAGTGCTGCAAATAACTTGCCTTGTATCAATAGTATTTTTCCAAACCCTAGTCTCCAAAACCCTCCTTTGATGAGCAACGTTACAGTTAAACCGACAGCTCAAGTTATGCCGATCCCATCTACAAGCGCGCCACCGGTGCAAAATATACCAGCTGTGCCGCTCGCGAATCCTATACCGTTGCAGCCGAGCCATGAACAGTTTATGGGCTTTCTGAGAATGTGGGGTATGGATCAAAGTCAGCAAACGGCTCAAAGTATGACCGCTATCTTTCCTGTCTTCATGCAGTTTTTCCAGCTGTTCAACAGTACGAGAAATTTGTTAGCTCAATCTCAGCAGCCGACATCTGTTCCCCAGCAGCCATCAAATATGGATGGAGACTTTTTGCAGTTTTTAACAGGGCAACAGCAGCAAATGGGTGGACAATTTATGCCACAGAATTCGAGTCTACCAAGTATGCAACCTCAGTATCAACAACCGGCGTCTACAGTGGCCGGAAACAATCAAAGCATTACGAATCCCTATCAGTCTACGACGAGTAGCCAGCTCCAGCAACAACAGCAGTATCAATACCCTTTTGCGCAGCAACCGCTTGCACCACCTGTTTCGTATGCCGCCCAACACCCTGCAAATGTCGGAACGATTCCTAATATTGTCCAAGAAATGACTTCGCAGAACCCACATGTGATGAATAGAATCGATCAGGTAGATTACAATACGCAGCAGCAAGCACGTTCGGAGTTGAACAATAATAGTAATCAGAGAATGGAGTCGAATGAAGGTGCAAATAGTGTGCACGCCGTGCAGAGTGTGATGGAGAGTAACAGATGTGTGCAATCTAGTGAAATGAGTGGTGCTCCTAATTTGATGCATCATGGACATAGCAGTACAGTTGGAAGAAATGTAAATAGAGCAGAGATGGAACTCAAGCTGGAGGTCTTTCCTAATAGGGTGAGACATTTATTGAAGGTCACCAATTCTAATGAAGTGACATATTTCGTTTTTTTTCTCTGCCAAATTTTGAGAAAGATTATTCGGATGTAAGAATAAATTCATGAGATATATGAAGTACTTTCAAACTCCTAAGTATAAATGGAAGAACTTGAACCTTTCTCCCAAATTGTGATAAATTTTTTGGAAGTTTTTTTGAAAAAGATGATCAAATTCGGAAGAAAAATTGTCAGACTATCAGATAAATCACAGAATATTGAACTTATACAATAATAGTAGAGCCTTAAGATTAATATTCGTTACCTATGATCGATTGCTTAGCCACAAAATATGGAGTCAAACAAGCAACCCACCAGCTCACCCAGTCCAACTATGGCGTGTATGGATGAGGATGACAAATTGAGTTTCGAACTGCAAATGCGATTAGGAGAAATGACGAAAAAAGGAGCGATAGACTTCGGCAAACTGGTCTCCATGCAATCTAACAACCCTAAATTGGACTCGATCAGGAACAAAACGCTGAAGCAGATGCTGTTTCAAAGCGTAATGCAAACTCAAAACATTGAAGCGAAACTAGAAGAGATGATTAAGAAAGTTCCGATGGAGGCACTGGAAAGTGAGATGAGCGAATTGCGAGACCGGTTCCTGGGCGAGTGTTCAAAAGTGATAATAACAGACAGTGAAAGTGCCCAGACTCATAACATGGAGTATGTGTTGTGGAAGACTGCGTTTTATCCGCTGATAGAGAGGCTGAGAAAACTGATGAACAATAATTCGGTCAAGTACAAAGCGGAGGAGTTGATGCAGAAGTACTTAAATGAGGTACGTAAAAGTTCTGTTTGCGATATTTTTTTCTATCAAGCTCGCGGCATAGCTAAAATAACCCGAACGGCAATTTCAACAAAACATTTTTGTCATATTTTTCAATGTTTTTTTTTATATTAAAGAAAAAAATTTCATTGTTTTCTTAATCTATTTAGTGTTTTCAATATTTAGACACTATTGTATTACACCCAGAAGCCTGCCCCTTCCCCCTTAAATCTAGCCGACGAATTTCCGCTCTTAGTACTTTCTTAGGACATCCTTTTTTTGGCGCCAATCTGGACTAAATTTGAGTAGAGCACACCGAAAGAAAACGATACTTTTTTTGGTCGAAACCTTTCAAAGTTTGCACTAAAACATCGTTTTTGTACTGTGTTTTTAAAAAAAATACATGCAGGGCAAAAATTTTCGGCAAAATAGGGTCTTGGGGGGATTCAATTTTGGGGGAGCTCTTTAGAGGGAGCTCGGAATTCATTTGGTCGATCTTAAAAAAATAGTTGACAATTTTATTTTTCAAAAACAGCCTTCTGAAAAATTTTGGCGCACGACCATAGCACTTTAATCTTGCCAAATAAAATTATTATTTTATGCGAAATTATTTGCCTTAGTTCGGTTTGGATTAACTGGCTTCACTCACTTCTAGCCTTCATAATAAACATAAAATGCCTTGTATGTGTTTCAGGGCATAGGCTACTACAATCGCCTACTGACAGAGATGCAAGCAGCTCAGCAGGTCAACCTTGCTTACTACACAACCCCCGAAATGAGGCTGAGATTGTCCTCAATTCCGAAGAAGGCTCGCTTCACTATGAACTCGGCTTTTAAGCTGAATATCGGACTGGGAGATCTGCATAGGTATTTGGAGAATACAGCGGGAACGACGGACTTCATCTTGGCTAAGCGGTGAGAAATATTTTATGGCATTTAAGAACACTGGGAACAGGGTTTACCCGCTAGCAATTTATTTTTGAATATCATTTTGAATTTTTGAAATTAATGTTTAAACCTCGTATATCTAAGCATACTTTTCCGGATGTTTGGCCCGGTTTGAAAACTTTCTTCTAACTGCCATTCACGTCAAACAAATTCTAATATTCAGCTTCTTCATTTGAGTTTTGTGAACTAAGCTGCATTATTCTGATTTCAGAGCCTACAACTTTGCACATTTCTTACTACCGAAAAGTGGACGAGCCTTCAACCAACTCGCCCTCATCGCAACTCAACAGGTTTGTGTTAAAGTTCAACTGAAGTTAGCCACGAAAAACATAACTCTCTTAAAGCATTTTTTTGCAGAAACGACGCCTTGAAGCAGTTTATTGCTATATCAGAAGCCTAGCTGCCCAAGAAGACTTCAAAGGTAAAATAAAGTCTTCCAACATTTTTTACCTTGCATTCGATTTTAAAGTGTTCCCTGAAAGAGCGTGAGAAAAAGTCAATCGACAAGAGTGGTCATTAATTTTTTAATCGGTTAAATGTTAAAAGCACATGCAATGGTTGAAGTTTTGTGGGATAATTTCTAAGTAATACGTTTTCATTTTTAACTGAACCATCAGAGTAAGTTATTTATTTACCTGATTTTGATCCAGTAGTAAAGTTTCAGTGAACAATGTGGAGACACAAGAAATTGTTATCGTTCAAATTAGTTTTTTCGCTTGTTTGGCTGTTGCTTTCCTTTTTAGTGCAAGGCAAATTCATTTGCTAAATTTAAGGCAAATTACGGTCTGCCAAAAAAGAGTGCAAATTGCGCGAAAAAGCATGAAAGACTTTGACTTCTTAAAGCTGGCTTTATTTTTTTACGATTTCCCAGCGGAATGAAAAAATTACCTCATGATCCAATTTTCTCAGATGAACGTAGTTGAGACTCTTATATAGGTCGTGATTTTTTGTTTTTAGGAGAAGGTAGGCAAAACCTAACATAATAATACAGTTTTCTGTATAAAATTGAATTAATTTTAGCAAGAAAGTGCCGGTTTATAAACTGCATTTCAATTTCAAAGAGCATTAGGCCATAGTTTTGTTTGTTGAAATTCGAAAAGTGAAATTTTTTTGAAAAACGATTTGTTTTTTTTTTCTGTTTCTTTGCGTTCATCGACTCTTTTCCAACTGTCTGTTGCTATGTTTTATGAAATTCAATCAGGATACGTTTTTTACCATTCTTGCAGGATTATGAAGTTACAACGTTTAAAAATATTTGGAAAACATTCAAAAAAGCTTGATTGTTAAATTGATTGAAAGGCAAAATTATTCACTATTTATCAGTAACATTTTTTTTATCAGTACCAAGAATTTTTGAATCTATCCAAGATATATCGAGTATTACTATAACTATAAACGAAAGTAGCAACCATTCAGCTAGTTTACGGAAATGTGTGCCCAGAAAATATTGAGCGCTGCTTGTTCGAAGTCGAAGAGAATGCTTTGTGGTTCCGCTTTTCGAGATAGCTTTGACAGATCGTTCAAGAAGTTCTGGTTGGTGTCGTTGCCTTTTTTGAGGAGCAGAGCATAGATGCAGGAGAGTAAAAGACAACTACTTATGTATGAACTGTAGAAATTCGGGAAAGCAGCATTGGGCTTATTTTAAGGGTTCAATTGCCAGGCCAGTGGTCTGTGTTCACTAGGAGGGCTTTTATATTGCCGCGAGTTTATATCGCCAAAAGTAAGGACTCTTTCAGTATCTTCAATACCGCTATCGAGTAGGCAAGATTTCTTTGCACTTAATAGGCACTTTGAATTCTGTCAAATTCCGGCATGGAGAAGGTCTTTTGAATCTTTTTTTTTGGTTGATTGAGTGCCCTGTAACAGGCAAAGTGTGAGGTTAAATTTAGTTGGACAGTTTTCTCACCGGTAATTGTTTGAAAGTAATTTGCATTTATACAGCTGTTGAGAGTTGACTGCTGAGTTTTGATGTCTTCTTTCATTTGCTGCACCAAAATTTGCTGCATCAAAATAATATCCATGTAATTTGGTTCATTGTGTAGAAATGTTTAAAAATGAAAGGATAGTTTTGTGTTGACTTCATTTCACTAAGTTACTGAAATTGGGAGTTGTAACCTGTTAATTTTGCATATTGCTAAGTTTTCAATCAGTATTTTCAATCGAGCTCTCAAATTGCTCGGTTCAGTATCCCAGACAAACTAAGTATACATGACTCAACTCACATGAATTTAAACTTCGATACATGTTCCTAACACCAAGAGCTACAGTTTTAAAAATGCTTTTTCATAAATTATCTCAATTCACTGGTGCTCATTTCTTTGATACTGTAGAGCAAAAAAAAAATGGCGAACTCTGATTTTAAACTTTGTTCGATTGTTTTGTTTTTCCACGCTTTTTTGCTTTAAATCGATTTTGCACTGCATTTTGAGTTGAAACAGCTTGTTTTTCCTGACTGATTACAATCGGAAAAAAACTGAGTTTCTCAAAAATCTTAATTTTAAGTGCGGTAAATTTTGACAAAAAACTGATTAGGAAATAAATTGCTTAAGTTTAATCAGGTATTTTATGATTCACGTTGTTGTGGGAAATTGAAACCTAAAATTTCACCCTGAAAACAATTCACTTGATTTGGTTTGAAAGTACGAGTTAATTGTTCTTTGTTTCCACATTAATTAACCCTGTTTTCTTCTTAATTGTGGACCAAATGCATTGAAAGGTGTGATATAGTGTCCCTTCGGATGGCTGTGAACAGCTGTATCGTCGTTTATTGATAATGTTGTAAGCTGTTCGAATATTAATTAGCGCTACTGGCTATCAATTGTTATGTCTTGTTTCCATAATTTATGTCTCGAGCGGTTAAGACTTATCTTGCTTTTAAGGACGCAGGATTCGGTTCTTAACTTCTGGAATATCGCTAGTCGATCGGCGCAAGTTAGAGCATGATTCTGATATTTTATTCTCTTCAAGTCTACCCAATTGATTAGTAGCTCGGTATGAATCTCCTCTCATTGGTCTTAATTACCATCAATGTTTACATAGTTACGTAAATATATGATGCAGCTCTATTTTAACATCAAGGTGAATTATGTAATCTATTAAGTTAGAATGGCTAATATAGAATGAATGACATCATGAAGGGATGTCACACGACCTCACAAGAAGAAGTCTTCCCGGGTGGTTGAAGTGTTTCATCAGATACATTTACAATAATTCACATAATAATTTAAGACTGCTTTTGATTTAGAATATGTACATTTATCAATAAGATATGGATCTATCAAAACTTATATCACAATAATTTAATATACTCATAGTATTAGAAGCACAGGTTATTACTTCAATTTTTAAAATGAGAGAAGATAAATTATTTTTAAATTAAATGGGAGATTTTTAAGCCACCTTGAGTCGGGGGTTTGGAAGTTTAGGAGATAGATGATAAGGTCAGATAAATGATACAATGATTTATTCAGTTGTCAACTATAACTACATTTACACGGCAAGAACTGTCGTGTGAGTAGCTGACTAGTTTTGATCGTCGTTTCGTTTCAAGTTCTGGTATCGCTGTTTTCGTTCGTTGTTGCATGTCATTCTTTTTGCTCGTTTGATGCTGAAGTCTTTTTGAAATGAGGCGGTGTGATTCTAATCGTTGCCTCATAGGTTGTGAATTGATTATCAACAGCTTAACAGTGATATGTTTTGTTGATTTATTCACGATTTGTTTTTGAAATTTTTCAACTAGCGAAGCAGTTTGTACCTTATTGTACTTGCTAATAAGTTGAATTGTCCTCTTCTGTTCGTTTTCTATTTTTCAGAAGTCTTCTTGTCTTCTTCGTATGGGCGTTTTGTGCCTTTGTTGGCTTACTCCCTGAAAAAAGGTGATAAAACTCTTTTTTTTTTTTCGTTAAGTCAGAGTTCCACTTGTTCAACGATGTTTTTGCATTGGTAGCGATCATCATCTTTTGTGTAGTGTCTGGTTTTTGTGTTTTCCATTCGTTTCTTATACTGCAGCTGCACTTCACTCCTATAGGCTATTCAGTCTATTTGCTGGTTCGCCTGAGCAAAATTTGGCGTCAGTTAGAGTTAAAATTGATGAATTTCAGTTATTCATCAAATTTGTTGATATTTTTGATGTTTTGTTTAGCTTTTAAAAATCGCGTGTTGATTTTCAGCATTGCTTTTAACCTTTCAGGGTTGTCCTAACAATTACGTTGGATCTTTTTGGGCACATTTGAGGGTTTTCTTTCCGCATTTCTGCAAGGATATCCCTCGAAAGTTATTTTTCTTGTTTTGCCCTATGTTAATACATGGGAATGTGGTAAATTGATGTATGTCACCAAGTGTTAGTCTGCTAGTGGACCGACTTCGTGCCTGTTCGTCATTAGTGATGAGATGATCAATAAAATAAAAATTTTGAATTTCCGTCGACTCGTTAGACAAGGAGGAAAAACTTTTTTATTCGTAATGCTTAAACATGAGCAACAGGTTGATTTTTCGAGATCTCACGAAGTTGATGTCTGCTAGTGGACCGACTTCGTGCCTGTTCGTCATTGGTGATGAGTTGATCGATGAACCAAAAAATTTTGAATTTCTGTCGACTCGTTAGACAAGGAGGAAAAACTTTTTTATTCGTAATGCTTAAACATGGGCAACAGGTGGATTTTTCGAGATCTCACTAAGTTGATGTCTGCTAGTGGACCGACGTTCTGTACGTACCTTAGTTGGTCTATGGAGGTGTTCCCCAGGTTCAAAGCTGTAGCATTGCGTATTTTGTGACTTTGGCGTCAATTTTTCAGAAAAGCTCAACTTGAGGAAATGAGTTTTTCTCGAACTTTTCTTTTTTTTCCGTTTCATTTTCATCATTTTTTTTTCAATTGCATCGATTGGGTGTTTATAGAGCTGATAATGTTTAGAATGCATGCGTGAACGGTACTAGCTGATATCCTGACAGCTCGTCATACATAAATGAATATTTTGATGTTTGTTTTATCAAAAATGTCGCAAATTAGGCTGAAAACTCTACTTTCTTTCAATTTATCAAGTCCACATCCAATTTTTGGCATGGCTATCGCGTTTATTCCTTTCTGCAATAGCTGCTGCTTCATGCAGTTGAGGCTTCTTGACAAATCGTAGTATGTTGGCTTGTCAAAGAATTGTGGTTTAGTGACTAAATTGAAGATTGACTTATTTTCCCAAGGCAGAGAAACTGAAACTGATGATCCAACTATCGGTGTTTCAATGCTTTTAAGGGTTGGTCTGATACATGGGTATGCGCTGTTGATCTGCTTTGCTACTCCTTTTGTCATTTGAAAGTCACTTGAGACGCAGTGAACTATAGAGCCAGGGAACTTTAAAACATCACCTTTTCCAACAAAGATATTTGGCTCATAGATTGCATTTACCGAATCTTTGCTACTGCCTGGT